ACATGTGTGCCAAAAAAAAAAAAAAAAAAAAAAAACAGAAAAAACAGAAAAAACAGAAAAAAGAAAATAAAGACCAAGCTGATGAAGAAGAAGAAGAAAAATCTCACGATGATCTGCAAAGTCCGCGTCCACTTTCAAATCGTTGCAGCGACTGCAACTGTGAATGTAACTGTAGTAGCGTTCGCTGCACTTATTGTTGGAGAGACAATGCCCGAGCATGGGGCATGGTGCATGCGGGGTGCATGGTGAGCAGGGGGGGGGGGGGGGGGGGTTGTCAGCGGGAGGCATGCGGTATGCGGCACGCGGCGCTGCGCTGCGCTGCTTTGCTTGTTTTAGGCTTTCAAACAAGTTTGCCAACATGGTCAAGAGCAGAGAGGCAAAAAAAAAAAAAAAACAAAATCGAAAAAAAACTGTTTTTGGCGAGCGGAACGTGAGGCTAGGCTATAGGAAAAAATAGAAAAGAAATTAAATATAAGCAACATGCACTAAAGATGGGGAAGTCCCCTTCCCTCGCTGCCTTCCCCTTACATTCCCCCCTCAACGCTCACTTGGCAATTACAAACAATGTAGAGGAGGCAAGTGCAGCAGGAGACGGACGGCGGCGAGGCAGGGGCGCTTTGGTTTGGCTACAAGTTGTGGGCCTGGCAATTTCACACAGCGTCGACTTTCACCAGGCAACGCGAAGCTGCCCTTAATGTCCGAAAATGCAAAAAGATACAAAGGCAACAACAACAACAGCAACAGCAACAACAACAAACGTATCTGGCGTTGGGTCAAGGGCAGAAATTCATATACATTTGGTGAAATGATTCACCTTTAATGGATATACTTTACATACATATACAGACACATATACACATATACATACATATATACACATATACATACATATATGCACATATACATACATACTATATAGTCCCATGCATGACTCATTCACTTAAGTCAACCCTCTGCCGCCCCCCCCCCTTGGCCCCGCCCTGCTGCTGCTGCTGCTGCTGTTGTCCCCCACCCCCTACCCCCCCTCCTTCCCTCAAATACACGCGGCACGCGCGCACTCATTTTACAGTAGCTTTTTTTTACTCCATTTCTCGCATATGGCTTCTCTTCTAAGTATGACCAAAAAAAAAAGCCCCGAAGAAGAAGAAGAAGGAGCAAAAAAAAAAAAAAACCCAACCAACACCATCGGCAGCAGGTCGCTTATCTTATCAAACGAAAATGTGCAAAAATAAAATGTGAGAGCAAAAAAATAAAAAGAATGGAAACAAAAAATCAAATTTGTGGAAGAACTTCAGTTGACAGCTGAAAAAATGGTTTGCCAAGCCGAATGCTGAATGCGCTTTAAAGTAATATTATATAGAGGGCTGATCATATTGATTTATCGGGTATATAGGCGAGATGTTATATTTATGAAGAAAACAAACATAGAAAGTGTTTTTTGAATGACTAGATAAAGATCTATTGTCTAGGAAACAGTTGCTTGTGCTAATTGAAATTTAGAGCGAGAATGAGAATGAGAAGGCGTCTGAGTCTGAGTCTAAGACTGAGCCTGAGACTGAGATGGAGACTGAGACTGAGACTGAGAATGAGAATGAGACTGAGACTGAGACTGAGACTGAGAATGAGAATGAGAATGAGAATGAGAATGAGAATGAGAATGAGAATGAGAATGAGAATGAGAATGAGGGTGAGGGTGAGAATGAGAATGAGAATGAGAATGAGAATGAGACTGAGAATGAGACTGAGACTGAGACTGAGACTGAGACTGAGACTGAGACTGAGACTGAGAATGAGAATGAGACTGAGACTGAGACTGAGACTGAGACTGAGAATGAGAATGAGAATGAGAATGAGAATGAGAATGAGAATGAGAATGAGGGTGAGGGTGAGAATGAGAATGAGAATGAGAATGAGAATGAGAATGAGAATGAGAATGAGAATGAGAATGAGAATGAGAATGAGAATGAGAATGAGAATGAGAATGAGAATGAGAATGAGAATGAGAATGAGAATGAGAATGAGAATGAGAA